GTCCACAAAGCTTGAGGGCAATGTGACCTGTCCCTTGACACTGTCTCTTCCATCTTTCTGCTTTGTGGTCAGTGTCTTCCTGCCACTAGACAGCCTTACTGAGGTGATTCCAGCTGAGGATGATTTCACCCTCTGATGCCAGAGAGAGGCTGAGACGGGGGCATCACCTCATCAAATTGCTTTCTTCATGGGAATGAGGAGTTTTTGTGCCTCCTTCATCCTCTGTCATATCTAGGTCTATGCCTGGCACATGGTATGTTCTCAATAAATGTATGTTGATGAGTGAATGAATAGATGTATGTTGCTGAATGAGTTCCAGAAAGCATGCCCCGTGACCTTTAAAAGCCTCCATCTGGTTTGGCAAGGCCACCTAAGCTGGTGAAGTATACTTTGACATCCTATTTGCCCCTCTGCATCCTGCTCCCTTATGGCTCCTCTTGGTTCTGACTTTGGACTCAGATTGAGACATGGATTTCTCTAGCTCAAACCACTTCCCATTCAAACACTCAATGATGACTCCAGCTTTTAGCATAACTTCAGTCTCACACTCTGTTCTGTTCTGATCCTTATTGCTCTGGGTCTGAATTTCTTGTTTTAGTTTTATTGCCTGCATTAATTTCCTATGATTCCTGTAACAAATTGCCACAAATATAGTGGCTTAAAGTGAACACAAATCTATTATGTTGTAGTTCTGAAAATGAGTCTTAAGGGGTTTCCATCAAGATGTGAGCAGAGCTGCCTTCTTTTCCAGAGACTCTAGGAGAAAGCCATAATTCTTGCCTCTTCATCTTCTAGAGGTTGCCTGCATTCCTTGTCTGTCTCTCACCAGTTTCTGCTCTGTTGTCACATTGCTATCCAATGACCCTTACATTGGTCCTAATTGAATAACCCAGGATGATCTCCACACTTCAAGACCCACATCTGCAAAATCTCTTTTACCACATAAAATAGCGTATTCACAGGTTTTGGGGATTTGGATAGGAACATGTTTGGGGACCATGATTCTTCTACCACACAACTCCATCCTGTGTCAACATGAAGGATCTCCTGAGTTTTCTAAGCACTGTACTGGACACGGGATGACTATAGGAAGGCTTCTTTCTTGTGTACACTCCTCATGGACTCTGGTCTATGTATAGAATCCACAAAGATGGAAGAGACCTGTCAGTGCCATTAGATATGGTTGAGAAGTTTCTTTCTGTTGGGTCTGAGAAACTGCAGTGTCTTTTAGTGGATATTGTAGTTTTAAAATTTTGCCACACTAATTTGCCACAGGGTTTTGGAGTTCTAAAGAGTTTTAAAAAATCTCTAAAATCAAAAGCAGAAATTAAGGTCTTTATCAAAGCACTCATTGATCAGCAATTGAACAGCAGCCACTATGAAGAATGGAAGGATATTTGTGGCTGGGGATGGCTGATTGAATGAAGTAGTGTAGGATTTGGAGCAGAGGCAGATTTGGACAGCAGAGCAAGAAAATGAAGTGTTTTGCAGAGCGCACATCCTCTCCTTGACCTTATTTTGTTGTATCTCACAGTTCACTTTACCCTCAATGTGGGCACTTACAGTCCATGGTCAAGCCCCAGAATATGGCATTAGTCTTCTCAGGAGCAAATGAGTGATGCTCAGGACCCAAGGCAGACTTGTCCACGTGGCTGGGCTGGCCCAAGCCCTGGGCTGCCTTGGCAGGAGCATGCTGGCAGGCAAAAGCTGGTGCCACTTCAAAGAACCGCCCCTCCAGGTGCCAAGGGCTGCTTTTCTGATGCTCATGCTGTGTCATTGTTTATTTTTGCAAGGCATCCAGCTGCTGCGGTGATGATATTTATATCAATAAGTGCTCTATTCATCTGCCGATTTCAGGAGATGCTTGCCAGCTGTGTATGGCAGCCAACCTCAGGGTGCTTTTGAGCCTGATGTTTTTGCACTTAGAGACTCAATTCTCAAGGTCTGTACCAACATCTGGAACTGATAGATTATTCTATCCTATACCAAGAAGGGGAGCTATAGCCAATGACCTTGACCCAAAGCAAGATTCTTCGAAACTCCTGTTCTGTCCCTGAAATCATGTTTTGCAAAAAAAGGATGTTGAAAAAGAGAAGAGCAAATGGGCTTTCATAGGTCCTACTTCACTTCCAGATCATAGAGTTCAGTTCTCTGTTTTACTTTTTCAGGCAAAAGAATAAGTGATGGCTTCTGATTCTGGAACTCTGAGGGCACTCTCTGTTTCATAGGAATTTATTTATTTCCATAGTTATTTCAGTTTCCAACCTTTCATTGTTCAAACCCCAAACTTTGGAGTTATCCTTCATTCCTCTTTTTCCTTCACTTTCCCTCTTTAACCTGTCAGGTACTTTTGTTGGATATAATTCCAGCATTCATCTATAACCTATGCTATTGCTACCATTCCGGTTTAAGCCATCCTCATTGTCACCTGATTATTGTAATAGCCTCTTTCCTTTTTCTTTCTCTTTCTGCTCTCAGCATCTCTCCTCCCCATCCCCCAACAGGAATCTGTTCTCAACGCAGCAGCCAGTGGATGCTTTTAAAGCAGTCAGATTACATCATCCCTTTGTCTAAAGTCTACTAGTGGCTCCACATTTCCCACAGAGCAAAAGCCAAAATTCTTTCTATGACTTACAAGATCCTCCATGACTTGGCCCTGTTACATCTCTGACCTTACTGCTAATCTTCCTATCTTCACCCTGCTCCTGCCCCAGCAGACTCTGCTGTCTTCAGTGGAACCAGGTGGATGCCCACAATGCCACCTGGGTGCAGGTTATTCCTTCTGCCTGCGACTCTTTCCTCTGGAAGAGGCACATGGTTTGCTCCCTCACCTCCTTCAAGTCTGTATTCAGATAATCTTTTCTCAACAGGACCTACATTGACCACCCCAATGCAGTTGCTTTTTGTGACTCAAACCCAGCTTTCTGATCTCCATTATACTGTCCTCTTATTTGTCTTTTCCATACCCTTGTCACCTCCTAACATACAATTGAGTACATTATAGAGCACTTTTTAATTTACTGTCTCTCTACTACATACACCTCAGAATAGAAAGTGCAGGAGAGATGAGATGGGGATTTTCTTGTTTCTCCTTGTCTGTACTGTTCACAGTCCAAGCACCTAGAGTAGCTTCCAGTGAATAGCAGCAGCAGATGTTCAACAAATGTGGATCACGAGAATGGAGAGAACCTCTCCTTTCTAGGCACATCCCAGATTGTCCTCACTTTCATCCCCTCCTACTCCCTGCCTCTGTGAACTTCCTGCTTTCCCATTTTGGCCAGGTGCATCTGGAACACCTAATTGTCCAGGTGAGACACCTGTCATCATTAGTAACTTTTCCTTCTCATTCACCTCCCATGTGCAGCTGCTCCTTAAACCTGTGGACTTCAATTCTGGAAACGTTTTCACATCTCATTCAAATTCTGCCTCCCAGCCACTTCCTCAGTTCAGATCTCTACCTTCAATTTCTGCATACTTGAAAACCCTCTCCCCATCTTTATTTCCCAGGTTTGTGTTCCCTGGTCCTGGACTCAGCTTTTTAACAGGATCCCTTCCTCCATGAGGAAGCCCTTCAGAATCTCTCCCCAGTGCACAGCAAGGATTTCTAACTGTGACCCCGGAAATCCTAGGATTCCACAGAGGTGCTCACAGTGACTGACTGTCTGAGGCCCACAAGGAGAAGATGAAAACCACTGCAGATGGATCCGTGGACCTCTGCATCCTGCTTCAACATGACCAGCTCTTAATCATTCTTACTTTATACATTGCGCTTGCACAAAAGCTTTCATTGGTAGAAAGGATTCTGTGGCTTACAAAGTAAAAGTCTGACACTTATAACACTTCAGTCCTTGGCCCAAGCTCCTGAGCCTGGCATAGCAAGTCTCTACAAGTCAGGCCTTGCTGCCGTATCCAGGTGCATCATGCTCTTTTGCTCTTGTCCTAGTCTAACCTCACTGGAACAGAGCTATCTGCAAACAAGCCCATGTACATCCATCTGCCTTGACTTTGTCCTTGCTGTTCCTTCTGCCTGGAATGCCTCTTCCCAGCTACTTCATCTCCTGTATGCACAAATATCTTCTGTCCCCTCAAGGTCAAAGCTGTCTTCTTTTTGAAATCTCCCCTCACTCTCTGGGCAGAATTAATTGCTCCCTGATCCTAGTCAACACAGCACTTCATTGCTGACCTCTATTACAGCATAGCCACATGAGGTTGCAACGAGTTGCCCATCTGTCTCTGTAACAAGACTGGGAGCTCCTAGAAGGCTGAGACTATAGCTCAAACCCATTTGAAAAAAGTTTTTTTTTTCCCACTCAAGGCCTGTACATGGCCAGAACTCATATGGGAGTGTGTTGAATTACTTTTTTGAGTTTTTGTCAAGGCAGCAAAAAGGTTTGCAAAAATCTGAAATGCCATTCTCATCTCCTTCACTGCAGGAATGTCTGTCCTAATACAGAGGGGAGGGCTCCAGAAACTGTCCCAAGATGCGCCCTGTGTCCTGAGTGTGTGGATATGTTGTAGGCCTATGGTGATTAAAGTTGTCAGATTTAAAGGGGCTAAGTCATGAAGACAAGGTTAAGAGGGGTGGTCAGGGGGCTTTGCCTCCTAGGTTCAGGCTCTAGCCTCTGCTAGCACAGGCTTTATGGCAAAGGGCTAGGGCATTGGATATTCTTGAGGGTTGGAGGTATTCAGTATTGGAGGTGTTTCCTGGCTCTGTAAGCTCTGTGTGATTTAGAGAAAGACCCTAACCATTGTTTGGGGCATGGAAAACAAAGACTGACCCTGGGGGCAGCTGGATAAAGCCCATAGGCAGAGGAATTTGCTTTTGGGGTTCTGGGGTAGAGGGTCTAGCAGGAGACTCCTGTTGTCTGTGGGCAGCAGAATGGGCTTGCTTTTTACTCATGGCCAGACAGTGCCCATCCCAGTGTCTCCCTCCAAGTCTACAGCATGGTCTTCCTGACCCACCGGGGCCCACCTATGGCAGCTACAGGGCCTCCTCCTACCTGAGCAGTGTCCATCTCATTCAGCATCACCACAGAGGAGCAGTTATAATCGAACACCAGCCTCCAGAAGTCTGCCACAGTGTTGGGAAGAGGGTGTTGAGTGACCACAAAGGCGGCAGGCTGCTTGTGGCTCTGACAAAGAAATGACACAAGTTTTATAAAATACATATCTATCAGTGCTATTCTGATGATGATGAGGCCCAGATGGATGCCAGAGGCCCTGAGCCAGTCAAATGGATTTCACAAAGCACCTGCCCGTTTTGTTATCTCTCAGTGCCCTGGTGGCAAAGGGGACCTTCTCCTAATGAACATATTCTTCTGAAAACTAAGACATTTCATTAGGAAAGTGTCACTCAGATGAGGATTATCCAAATAAATTATTTATGTCTTAGATCTCAGCAAATAATCATCATTACAATATGAAATGAAAGATTCTGGATGCAGATTTGCTGCTCTGCTGGCTGAGATACCTCTTGGGATATAATGGATCTGCTGAGTTCCTGTGCCTGTGATGCTGGGAAGGAGTCTAGCTGACCTGTGAGGGGGCCTGTTTTGCAAGCTTCACTCCAGGTCTGGGACAGAACTGAGGGCTGAGCTACCCTTGCAGGAGGTGGCATTGTGTCCTACAGCCAATGGGGCAGTGGAAGGTCTCCAAGTATTAGAGTCAGGTAGACCTGGGGTTCAACCTCAGCTTTGTTACCAGCCATCCATCCATCCACCCATTTGTTCATCCATTCATTTATCTAAACATCATTTGTAGAGTGCTTTATGGGGAATGTGTGGGATGCTAAATACTGGTAAGTTAGATGGTTTCAAAACTCAGATTCTTTATCTGGAAAATGGAATTCATAAATCCAAAGGGATAGTTGTCATACATTTGAATGAGATTTGCATGTAAAAAGCCCACTGAGCATGAGTCTGACTATAAGCCTACCACAGGGTAGAAGCACTTCTGACTTAGGTTTTCATCTGGGCACCAGCGCTATGGCTGGTACACACTGGAAACAGTATAGCTCCGGTGAATAAATAAATCAATTCAGCCCCATATTACAGACAGGGGAACAGAGGCCCAGAAAAAATGGGCCCGTGAGTTTCCACTGGGCCCGATTTGTCAGACCACCCTGTGAGGAGGTATTTGAGAAGATTGAGGGCTATCTCTATTTCCTCAGTGGTTTGTGAAATCTGACAATTAGCCAATGTTCTTAGCACATTTTTGGTCCCTCTGGTAGTCACAGCCATATCCAGTGGAATTATAAGTCAGAAGGCAATGGGGAGGGAAGAGGGGAAGAGACTTCAGCAGCAGCAGGTCGAGGCCTTGCAAACATTGACATCATGTATGCATTAAGGAGACTTGTCTTCCAAGGGCCTTCTCCTGGCCAGTGGATGGTCAGAGGAGGGGTTTGGGAAGGCAGACTATTTAGTTGCCCACAAGCCAAATTCTCCCCATAGACAGCATGGTCTTTCCAGACCTAGAAAAGAATGTAAGCTTCAATGGAAGCAGGCATGGAGCTGGTTCAACCCTTTCTAAGCTAGTTCACCATCGGTTGACCTACAGACTCTCAGTGTCTCTGCAGAAAATGGGGGTAATAATACCCAAATGCAGAATGAGACAGTACAAGTCCAGGGCTGGACATGGTACCCAACACTTAGGGAATGTTAGTTTTCTTTGCTTTTTCATTGTCTCTGTGATAAATGCTCTATTAGGCCAGCATGCCTGACAAAGCCTTATCTGAAAATATGTTCGAGATCCGTGCTCCTGCCGGGTTTCAGGGATCAGCCAGCAATCCATTTCATGGATAACATCATCCTTTACCAGGGGAAACATTAAAAATTAACCCAGAGGACTTCATATTTTTCTGCTAGAGGCAAAGCTGCTATGGTTACCAGATAATGCACAAACTGAGCTGGAATACAGATAAGGACTTTTTTTTTTTAATATAAGAAAGGCAAGGGCCTCAGTGATGGCTCACAGGAGAAATGTCCTGTGGACAAAGAAAATGCAATCAGAATTGGAGCTTGGCAAAAGGCATTTGACTCCAGGCAGTATCTAACCTACTAAGTAGAGGCCAGAAGCTTGCTTGATACTTGCTTAGATGTAAAAGCGAGAGACAGGGAGTCAGGACAAATAGCAGATAATGGTAGGGGAAGCTTGGAAGTGTAGGCGTACCTCTAGACCTCATCTCTCACCAGACACACAGGCACCCACACATACACATACATATATATAGTGACCTAAGCTGTTACCAGAGATTATCTCTCAAACTGCAGTTGTTTGATATGTCCAAGACAAGACTCCTTGTTTTTAGACCCTGACACAGGGTTTTCATGGAGGATGTAACCACCTACTGGCTGAGGCCAGGCAGGCCTCTTGAGAAAAGAGGTAGACCTTGGCTTCTTAACACCTCCTTGACTCCAACACCTAGTACTCTTGCTGAGAAAACTTGCTGAGAAAGTTTAGGAGTATCAGAGATCAGAGAAGTAGTTGGCTGGCCTTGATTGCAAGAGAGAGCATTCTATTCTCCTATCTGTTCTTAGGGTTACGGGAAGGCCACATAGGCTAAATAAATATGATCTTAAAGTGGGGAGTGGAGGGATGACAGACCTGGAAAAACTTATCACCAGCAAGCGATGGTGTTCTTGGTCCTGAGCCTTAGAAGGCAGGATATTGGCATCTTACAGGATCAAGCAAACTGTGGGGAGGCTCAAGAAATGAATTCTAGAGTGGGAGCCAGGAGCCCTGGGTTTGTTTTTGCCACTAGTTCTGTGGGTGACCTTGGGAAAGTCTCTCAATCTGGTCTCAGTTTCCTCTACTGAAAAGTGCATTAATGGGACTAGGTGGCCCATGGTTCCATCCTGCTGCAAACATCATTACATCCTGAAGGTGGAATGATGACAAACATAAGTAGCTTGAAGACCCAGGGAAAAGCATATGTGACAGAAGTATGGGTCCACTGAACAGGACATCCTTAATCTCAAACCAAGAGTGCTTTTCTTGGACAAAATTTTGAGAAATCAGGATACAATGGTCCTAACAGGGCAGGAAAATGGTCTGTTCCTCACTGCCTTCCATTACTTTTCCAGTAACTATCTGTTGAGTAACTATTTATTTTACACCTCTTTCTCCCTCTGCAAAGGAGTTATCTGGGAAGCTGAATAGGAGGTGCCAGTAGGCAGGACCTATGTCTGCATCATTTTGTGACCCTAGAGCTCAGGTTAAGACCTGGAATGGGGAATACTGCCAGAACTGAAATTCAGACTGAGAGCCATTTCTGTGGGAGATGGAAGGGGTGGGGCAGGACCATAGTCCTGTGCTGTCATTGGAGTCACTTTAAGCTTTTGATCTATTTTTTCCAGGCTCTTTGAACTAAAGTGCCAAGACTACAGATTGTGTCTGAGTTTGTCCAGAATCTTCAGGGGAGCCATAGTCCCAAAGGCCAATAGTCAGAAACAAGGTGGCTGGTGGAGTCAGGTCCCTGGGGTCCAGCCATCATCTCCACCTTGGAAAGGAGTTTTTCCCTGCAATGCCAGCAGGGATTTCTGCCAGGGATAAGCTTACATCCATCAGTGCTGCATTGATGTAGTTGCTGGACTCTCCATCCACTGAAATGAGGAAGGGCAGACAGCGGTCCAGAGGCAGGACGTCCATGCTCCGATTCTTATCATGGTTCCGGGGCAGGAGTCCAATGCTACAATCCTCTGGCCGGACACGAGGGGTCACAATGTTTAGTGTCTGTTGGGCACAAAGGTGGATAGATAAGTACTGTTCAGATGGTTGCCCTGAGCAGAAGAGACAGTGATGTTTCTGTTTAGTCTAACTCATCTGTCTGTACCCTCTAAACTTGGCCCTTGTCTCTTTCCCAGGACCCATGCCTCTCCCACAGTGGTGATATTCTGTCATATCCTTCTTGCTGCTACAGGACTTTTGGGCTGAGGGTATTTGCAAGGGACTGTGTGATACTCTCAAGATGCCAAGGCTGCAGAGCAGCATGCCCCTGCATAGGATCAGACACAGGCTGTCAACACCTGTCAACCATGTGAACTATGTTGTTCAACTCAGCCAGTGTTGCATTAAAGGGCAGGCCAGCCAGAAGGGCATATGGTGAGTTGGGGGTAGGGAATCCCTAATGAATGCTAAACACCATTTGAAGTGTCATGGGATGAGGAAAATAATTTACCAGCACTCTTCTCAAAGAGAAAATTATAGAAGTACGGAAGGTGTTTAGATGAGTGACTCAGGGTGGATGAGAGATTCCCAAGAGGCAACTCTAGTAGGTTTACAAAGCTACAGGGTTTGTGCATGCAGAGTAAGTCTTGCAATATGGGAACAGAGCTGCCCCAGCCAATAACTTAGATCTGTGTGCAATGACCAGGGTTTTATGTTTTCCATCCTTCTGTCATTTGGCACACTATCTCTGCTGTAAATCAATAAACACTGTTTGAAGGAGCACTAATGTATTGACTTGGCTTGGGTATCTGCCCATGGAACCATGAGCCTAGCACTTATCTATGGGCTTGAATCAAGTCCTGGTGCTCCTTGTTTCCTCTTGCCTGGTTCTCAGCTCTTGTTGCCCAGGTAGGGCCCTGGTACTGGCCTGGAATTAAAGTCTGGACTCCAGCTTTCTACCCAGTGATTCATATCTAGACCACTCAGACCAATGTTTTCATAATTCTGACCATATGGACTCCCACATGATGCTGATGCTTCCAGTCTACACCACACTTGGAGCAGCAAGGATCTATGGAGAAACTACAGAGAAAACCCAAGTTCCTCCAGGGACAAGAAGCATGGAATTCACTCCTGTATGTACAAACTGATCTTCTTCCACAAGAACTAAGAACTCAGTTCAAAAACATAATGATAGTTAAAAACAAGCATCAGCTATCACTGAGTGGTTGAGACCTGATAATGGCTGTGCATCTGATATTGTAGAATGCATTCTGCAGCTATCTGGCCCTGCAGACTGAAAGCACAGACATCTCAGTTCACACAGTGAAAGCAAATGGGCACAGCACCACTGAAGTTGGCTGGGTCACTGCTGTAAGTTGAATATTTGTGTTCCTCCTCCCCCATGCATATGTTGCCACCCTAATGTCCAGTGTGATGGCATTAGGAGGTTGGATCTAGTGGAGGTAATTAGGTCATAAGGGTGGAGTCCGCATGAATGGGATTAGTGCCCTTATAAGAAGAGACAAGCACTTGCTTCTTCTCTTTTTATGCCATGTGAAACTACAAGAAGGCAGCTATCTACAGCCCTCCCAGACACCAGATTTGTCAGTAAACTTCTAGAAATGTGTATTTTTTGTTTATTTGTTTGGTTTGTTTTGTTTCGTTTAGGCCAAAACTGGCTTTGTAACTCAGGCTGAGAACCTTGAACTTGTGATCCTCCTACCTCTGCAAAGGCCCCTCCCCACGGTGCTAGGATTATAGGCATATGCCCACCATATCTTAACTTTCAGAAATGTGGTTGTTGTTAAGTCACTCAGTCTATGGAAATTTGTTATAATAGCACAGACTGACTGAGACAGTCATTAAGTCTGGGATTTACCCATACCTGAAACTCATCTTTGATCTGGCTGGAGTTCGTTTGGGGATCCAGCCTGCTGATGTTATAGTAGAGAGAGCGGAACTCACACACAGGGATGGCAGTGTTGCCACAGAGGCATGCTTCCAGGATGGCATCATGCACAAACACATACTGCTCCTGCAAGGTCAAGGGGAGAAGAAAGGGGCACCAGATAAGAGCCATAATCTGGGATTTTGTTCTCCATGTTGACTCTTGTGACTGTGAAGAATGGATACAACTTATACTTTACTGTTTATCCTGTAACCCAAAGGGCTAAGTCTCTATGTTTCATAGTGATTGCCTGAGCTAAGGTGCATTTGTTCTTTATAGAAGATGGAACAGCACTCCACCTGATAAAAATGAGAAGCTTCTGGACATGTTATAGTGAGTGATCTTGATGCCCTGACCACAACCTCTCAGTTTTCACCTTTACCTGCCAAAGGCTGCTTGCTGCAAATAACCTGCAATTCTCTGCTGAGGGTTTTCTTCTGCTCCCAGGAGCAGACTTGGGCTATGCATAGGGAAACCAAAAGCACCAAGGAGTTAAGGCCCCAGGAAGGAGGCCTCAGGCAGTGTCAGATGGAGAGTTGGGGATAAAAAATCAAAGTTGACCCTCCTCTTCAGTGGGACAGATTGTAGATGCATGTTTCTCACTGTCTCAGAGTTCCCCAGCAGGACTGAACTCCACTTATTAACAGTGTTTTACAACCTGATATAGTACTCTTTGTTTTTTCCTTCCCTATCTCACTTCCCACTCAGCAACTAGTGGGATTGTCTCTCTTGGAACCTCTAGCCCTTATCTCAAGTCCTCAAGAACTTTGGTGCTTAAGCCATTTCCTGCAGTGACTGACTTGATGCTTGCCACATACAGACCTTCTATGAATGCTCATCCTTCCCCTTCCTTCTATACTCCTTCAGCTAAGGCTGGAACACTGTTCAAAGAATCCCTGATAGCTACCATTCCAACCCTGCTTAGATGCCCTCAGAGATGGAGAACTAGCCATCATTCATTGTTGGTGGAAGTCTCTGTACCACAGGCCCTCAGGTTTGGCTGATGTGTCCTAGCTTCTAAAGTGGTCTTCCTATAACAAGCCTGGGATCACCCCCTCTCACTTCCCCCATACCCATCTCCCTTTGTACAGGATGCCCCCACCCATCTCTTTTTGACCATGCCTCTTCTTGGCTAGAGCTGTAGCTAAATGGCTGGCTCAGTCTCCAGGACTCACCTCTGTCTGCACCAGGTTGACTCTCTGTGCCCGGAGCTCACGCACGCAATTGAAGATGTCCACCACCCCTTCATTCTCAGCCATGTCAAGCATGGTGTCAATGGCAATGAAGCAACCAGTCCTACCGGCTCCAGCACTGAAAGAGAGGGATCGATCTGTGTTAGGGATCTTGAGGTGGGGCCAGCTGTGGAGAGGCCCCTACCATTCAGCCCTGTACCCAAAGGCCTGCATGCTGCCAAAGTCAGATAGAGAAGTTAGAATTCCAACATTCTTGGAATGCTGAACAAGTGACCCACTGAAAGCCTCAGCTCTCTCTAAAGGGGGAGAGTAATGCTTGCTTTTAGGGGAATGCTGTCAGGTCTGACTTATTTTGTTGCACTTAGACACTTAGAACTTGCAAAGAGCCACATAGTGCTTTATGAATGGTACTTATCAACTTCCCTATGAGGTGGTTAGCAAGCTTCTCACTCCATTTCACAGGTAAGAAAACTAAGGCACAGAAGGCTTTACTTTGCTTGAGGTCACACAGCCTGTAAGTGGTAGAGCCAGGACTTTTACTTAGGCTGTCTGAATTCAGAGTATGCAATGTTACACTTTCTTTCTTATTAAGTTTTATAGTACATAACATATCTTATACAGCAATTATGCACACAGGCATCTGAAGGGTAAAGATAATCCCGCTATACAGCATAAAACATTTAACATGATCCCTGGCATACTACAAAGGCCTAATAAACATGTATTTCCTGTTTTCCTCCCTTCTTTTCTCCTTCTTTCTATTTTGGCTTTAAAGCAAAAGGGTTGATGGATTAAAAGAAGGAAGAGAAGTAGAGAGATAACAAAGAGGGAGAATAGAGACCAGACTTTGGAGCTGTCCCAAAGGCAAGAGTGACTTTGGAGTTCCCTATCCAAGGTCCTGCAGTTGGCACCACCTGAGCCTGTTTCCCCAGGACCATGAGCCAGGAGCATCATTAAATTGGAGCATCTGACACCCCAAGACCTTTATCAAATATCAAGCTTCCCAATGTATATTCAATTTCTGATCCTGGATGGCTTTGTCAGTAGAATATTAGAAAAATCATAAAACAGCAAGACAACTCCATGGAGCATGGCCATGTGTGTTCCAAAATGATGCTGCTGAACCACAGACAAATAGAACATTTGCCTTAACTGCACACAGTTTTGAAGGGAAGGCCAGGCAGACTGTCAAGGAAGCTATGGTTTCACATCTTGCTTCCTCCATGGAAACAAATGTCTTGGTCTAACAAATGTGGAAATCCAGGGAAATGCAAAGAAAAGGAGAGATGGGATAAAATGGAAAAGCAATATTGGCTGATAAATTCAAGGAGTGTAGGCAGTGGGGACCATCACCTCAGTGATCTGGAAAGTAAGCCCATAGGAAGAAGTCTTCATTGGTGATAAAATTTCATGGTTTGAATTGAGTGAAATATGACTAATTCTTTTTCAGAAGACCTCTCCCACAATATTCCACCCTTCCAAAGGGACTCAATAGACTGAGCCTACATGTCTAGGAAGGTGAACTACTCATTCATTTGTTCTCCAAAGTTTCATTCTCAACTTAAGGGGACTGAACCAGCTTGGTGTGGTTTTTAGTCTTAAATCTATCATCAGTGAACAAGTTGCCTGGTGTCTGTGAGCCTCAATATTCTCACACATATAACATGCCTCCTGGCAGAGTCCTTGTTAGGACTGAAGATACGTTTATTTCAGAATCACATAGTAATCAAACACATGATATTTACAAGAGACTCATGGGATTAAATCCTGGCTCTATTACTTACTAGTCGTGTGACCTTGAGTAAATAACTTAATCTCTCTGGGTTTCACTACTCTCATTCATAAAATGATGCACATAACGTACCCAATAGCAGTAATAGTATAATATATATAAGTTGCATAAAATTACATGTAAAAAGCACAATGCACGTAAATTGCTTACATGCATTTTACCTGTGCCTGCCTGATAGCAATTTCTGGATAAATAGTTGCTACTTATATTCCACAAATATTTATCAAGCATTTATGATTCACAGATACTGGTATTAGGAGATGGGGTGTGAAAACATGTAAGACATGGCTTTTGTCTTAAAGCATTTGTTAACAACAATCTGGAGAAGGGATGACATTAAGAGGATGACAAGAGTGGTATTTTTAAGTGCTTACTTTATGTCAGAGATTCTGTCAGGCACTTCGTATACATTATCTAACCCATAATAGCCCCAGGAGTGGGTACCACTCTGCTCAGATGCATTATAGTGACCTGATATGGAGATACAGGCACAAGCCATGTGCTCTGCCTTCACCCTTCCTCTGGCTGCTGTTTTAGACATAGGGTTGAGTGCTAATGTTCTGTTGTTGTTGGTTTGATGCAAGGATTCATAGCAAATGGGCAGACAGCCCAACAGGGCTCCGTTGAATCCTCAATTTGTGGAATGGGGCTGTGTAGCCACTGTTGTAAAGGAGACAAATGGATATAGTGTGAGGAAGGAGCTGGCTCTGAGACTACACAGTTTGCAGAATCTGTCCTGGTCACTTGAGTGATGTGGACATTGCCAAGACAGAGATGAGATGATTTGAGCATGCAGAGTCTAAAAAGATGGGCTAGACTCAAGGTCATACTGGGAAGAAGGGGCACCGGGAAGGAGGAGTTTGAGGGCTGGCTAGCCTTCAGGTCTAAACGTCCAGGCTCCTCCAATTCTCATGCCCTTGACATTATACTTCATCTTTATTTAGGATTCATAGATGTGTCACTCATGCTCAATGAGACTTTCTAGGTCAAAGCAAAAATATCTGTTCTCTATACTAAGGGGCAGCCTGATGCCGTCCATTTAGTCTCTGTTAAGGACCCTGCAGACCAGTGATTAATTCTGAAGATAATGGAAATGAAGAAAAGCTGCTTGCACCAAGGCACCCCACCACCATGTGAAGAAGCTGTGAGTGAGCCCTGGAGAGGAGCTTGTTAAGTGTCCTGCCATTTCCTACCCATGTCTACCTTCTAGGTGGCTCAGTTTCCTCATCTGTAAAATGGGAATGAAAGTGCCCACCTCTCAAGGTTGGATGAAAAGTGAACTAACACAGGCAGGTGTGCAAGGTAAATGTAGCAGATGCTACCTACATTTCCAGTGACCTTGCCATTTCAAGGCAACAAACAAGAACAATGACCACTACTGCTATTGTTGTTGATGTTATCCCTTGGGATCTGGGTTCCACCAGAAGGGTTTTGGGCCCTGGGGCACAGGAAGGGAGTCTTTAGGGAAAGTAATCAAGTCTGCTGGACAAGAGAGGCCCTCACTAGGAAGAAGAGCCATAGAGGCACACTGGTTAGGGGGGCTGTTTTGACTCACCTGCAATGGACCACTATGGGCCCAGCTTCTGGAGGGTTGAGGAACTTGACCTGGCGGATGAAACCCAGGAGGCCCGTGGCATAGCAGGGGACACCGTGGTCAGGCCAGCTGGTGAAGTGGAAGAGCCGGAGCTCCCGGATCTCGTGGTAGCCTTTCTGAGGAGAGAAGGGGCCTTTGTTCCTCCAGCTGCTGCCTTCATCAAGGGGAGCTAGAGATGTAGCACTGAAGGCCCAGCCTTCCTGCTGTCCAGGGAGAACAAGGCCCTTGCAGGGTCGACAGCTGTGACTGCCAGCCTGACTCTGTGATGAGTTACATTTGAAAAATGTGAAACTATTAAACGTGAAGTGGGTAACGGGTTGCTATGTTGCAAGACTTCTCAGAGCCTTTAGTGTGCTGATGCATTCCAAGTCCTCTAAGAGACAACCAGTGTTTGCCCAGGGGTCCCTGTGACAAGGATTTCACTGAAGGTATATTCAGTAGGACAGATTAAAGAAATGATGGCAGTGAAGACCCAGTTCCACGTGTTTCCATAGAATATGAGGCCTTTCAGGGGCTGCAATCTGGGGTCTCCCAGTTTTCTTGGTTAGTGACTGTATACATGGCTTTTAAGTCTTAGAAAATTTAGCGAAATACTTTATTAATTAGATTCTTATTTAGTATTATAGGATGGGGAACAAAAAGCAGAGCTTCTCTAACTGGTGGAGGCAGTGGGTTCCCCTTCCCCTCCTCCTGTCTCACCCAGAGATACTCCCAGCCATTCATGGTTTTCCCACTCCCCACAGACAGGACCCATGTCTGAGTCTTGTCTCAGTCTTTGCTTACGCAGCTCACTCTGTTGACTTTTTTCTAACTTAGTGATCTCCTGCACATTTTTCGAGCTCATTGAACAGGAAAAGTCCATTTGATTGCTCATCCCATGCTAAACAATATTCACTAGGGGTTATTTGTGCCTAGATTTGTGTTGGCACTAGGAAGGAGGAAATAAAAGCCACAGTTCCTGCCCCTGGAATAGTTCATTGCCTGTTTGGGGAGCAAGAGTCCTACAGGGGCAATTCTACTGAAGTGCACATAACAGTTCAGCTAATGTGATCTGGGGATAGATGAAATCACAGAAGGCTTCCTTTGGAGGCAATACTTGATTTGAATCCTGAAACATATTAACAGTGAAACAATAGCTAACATTTGTTAAGCACTGGGGATGTCCCAGTCACTTCAGTGTATTAATTCATTTAATCTTCAGACCATTCCTCATATTGTTACCTCCCAGTTATGGATAAGGAAACTGAGGCTTAGCAAGATTTAGTAACACAACTAGTAAGTTATAAAGTGATAATTTTCATTCTGGCTGTTTGGCAGCACAATTTGCACTTATCATCATGATGACACTGAAGAGTAAGTACTACCCAGCTGAAGACATGAAGGGGATTGAGGCAGAGGGGCATATAGCGAGCGCATAGGGACAGGACTCAGCAAACTGTCTTCAGTCCTCCTCCCATTCTCAGCACTAACCAGACAAACAATGGATGGGGCTGGTTCCCACCTTGATCCTCTTCATGGGGACTGTGCACATGGACCTCAGTTGCACTGAGTATTGGCTGCCTTGACTTTATCTCCACTTGTCCTCTTTTCTAGACATGAGCCCTTCATTGTCAGGAGCTGGCTTTCTCTGGAAGCCATCTCTCAGTGGTGGTTAGTCAGTGGACTCATTGATGAGGTATCCCAAAAGTCTGGCTTTTGCCACAACGGGGATAACTATGGTACAATTTATGTCCTGGAGGTCCCCTGTGGAACAGACCCTGGATAGACTTACTGGATTCTGTGCCTTTGCTTGGCTGCCCTCTCTTGCATTTCTCCTGAGACTTCCCCAACACACCAGATACATCAGAATCCTTGCCTCAGGCTCTGCCTCTAAGGAACCTTACCCAAGACACCATCCAAGGGCTTATTGTCTTCCATCTTCTCAGTGGAGGGAGCCCACCTACTTACTGACTTTTCCACCTGAGTCTGCAGACTTTAGGAGAATGGATGTTGAGTGGGGAGCCACTGGGAACGAACAGTGCTCCTGTGCTAAGAATATCAGGACACATTCTGTGCTCCAGTCATCATGGGAGCCAGCTTTGTCCTCCCTAAGGACTTGTCCAATCTCCAATGGCATCTCTCAAAGCATTTAAGCCCCTAGTCTCTTTTGCATCTTTGGTCCTGGGGCCACATTAAAGTGGTTGCTTTTAGAAAATGGGTAAATACTGTGTAGTGAAAGAAGCAGAGGTCTTCAGGGACCAAGGTTTAAGTTCTAATTTTATCAACTTACACCTAGGCAACTTTAGACACCTGCATTTAGCTTTGTGCCTCAATGTCTTCACCTATTAAAAGGGGACAAAATAGTATCTGCTTCACTGGGTGTGGGGAAGATTAAATGATTTAATCTATGCAAAGCTCTTAGAGCACCTGGTTTAATCAGTGCTTAGTAAATGGCAATGGTTATAATACACACATACCTGACTTACAATGGTTCCAATTCATGATTTTTGGACTTTATGATGGTGCAAAAGAAATATGTGTCCAGGAGAAATCTTATTTTGAATTTTGATCTTTTCCTTGGCTAGTGATATGTGCTATAATATTCCTTGTGATAAGGCACGCTGGACTCCCACTCAGTGCACTATCATGAGGCTAAACAATACTCTGTGATATACTTGGGATCCTGTGTTGCTAAGCAATGACATTGAATGGGTTAGTTTTATTAAATGCATTTTCAAGTTACGATATTTTCAATTTACAATGGGTTTACTGGGATGTAACCCTATTATCAGTCAAAAAATAGCTGCCTGATAGAATAGCAATGACTATGTAATAGTTGAACCATACAGGTAAAATTATTATTTGGGATATTGTTCTTGCTCATCAATGTCTAGACCATTATCTCTCAACCTTGACACAACCAATATGTTGGACTGGATGATTCTTTGATATGGGGGCTGTGCTGTGCTGTGCATGCAAGTTATAGATTGGCACCTCTGGCCTCCACCCACTAGATGTCAGTAACAACCTGCCCCTTCCAAGTTGTTATGACCCCAAATGTCTCCAGACATTGACATATATCTTCTATAGGACCACAGGCCTAGGACATGTTGAGATCTTTTTCTCTTTCATGCTTTGCATGTTTTTTACCCTTTTGCTGGTGCTTTCTTGTTTTTATTCTTTGCTCCAAATTCCTCCTCTTCTGGGGAAGCTCTATCTGATTTCCCCATATTATTGCTCCCTTGTGGTTTTTTCACCATGTGTCATTCCCCTGAGTTGTCTGTTGAAGGCTGTTTGTTCCTTCTACTTTCTGTGGGATCCATTGTGGGAGGATTGAAGTCTGACCTGATTGCTGATCTGTCCTTGGTACTAAGTGTGGTGCTGTGCACAGATCAGACCTTTTTGGTCTCTACCTGTCTGAGTGAATAGACATGCCAGATGACTTGGTAGATAAGCTGCCCACAGCCAAGGGAATCTTACCTTCTGGACTGTGAAGGTGCGGATGACATATTCTGCCAGGGGCTCTGTTTCGATCAGGGTGACTTTAATGTCTCCATAGACTTCCGTGTCATCTGGCCAGTATCGTACACACTTCACCTGTGGCCCAGTGAAAAACAGGGAAAAGACAGAGACAAGGATGCATGAGCAGATGGCTGAGTGTGAGAAACTATCTCATTCGACTTTTCTATTTAAATAACCCAGGGGAGACTTTGGTGGCATTTCCATCCATGGGGTGCTCAAATGGCCAGGGATTGTCAAAGTGCATAGGGCCAAGGTCACTCCCAGAGGCATGAGGACCACAGAAATATGAGTAGTGCCTTTTCTGCAGAGCTCCTTGAGACTTTCCAATGCATTATCACACTGTGGTCAGACAACTAGGTGAGGTAGGTGGGTATTCCCATTTTGCAGATGAAAATTACACTCAAGTTTGGCAGTTTGTCCAAGGTAATATGGTCAGTTTTCTACTTTGGGCTGAGTTCCCTTTCTATTCTTATCAGGCTGGAACAGCTCAGTGTTATCAACTGAGCAAAGATGAGAATAAAAGGAGGGAAACAGTAAGGAGGTGGAAGCAGAAGTGGTCAGGAGAGGGTCATTTTTAAGAGGTGGTAATTGGGGACTGGAAGGAGAAAGGCTCTTAGTTGGGAAAAGGATGGAAGGTCTGGGCTCAACGGGAAGACTCGCAACTGCTCTCTGCCCTGGCTCTGGGTACCAAGTCTAAAAGCAAGCTATTCCCACATTTGACTCTAAGTCACATTCCGCAGAGGAGAAGAGATGGTTTTCCCCTTAAAAGAACAAAAGCATTATTACCATTCCGGGGGACGCCGCACGGCCTAGCGTGGCATTTCCCACAGTGTGTTCCGCTGGGTGCTAATAGGTGTTAGGTAAAAAACAAGAAACAAAAGAACAAACAAAAAAAAGGTTTTGTGGTCAAATGAGTTTGGGAAATGCTGATTCAACAAAGTTCAACAAGCTGCTTTGCTACAGGACTACTCAGCTCCTCGAATGTGCTAATGCTGTGTCTTAAGACTCTCCAAAAGGGACAGAGGATACAGCATTTCCCAAACTTATTTAACCATGGAACCCTCTTCTCACTAAATATCCTGCAGACTAGCATCCCATGGAACCCACTTAGGGAAACACTGATACAGGGCAACAGGGTTTGGAGGCAAATGGATTCATTGTTTAGTTCTAACACTGAGGAACTTCCAGAAAGTGCTGGAACTTCTTTGAGACTCAGTTTAATACTTACTCTAACACTGTTTACTAAGTGTCCTATGACTGATTTATGCCTTATTTACTCATCACTACAATCTTAAATATTATTATTATTATCCCCTTTTTACAGATGAGGATCTAAACATAGGGAAGTCAAGAAAGTTGCCCAAAGTGAACTGTTGGCAAGGCATAGAGCCAGGATACCAACCCAGGCTGCCTGAATGATAACCAGGAGCATTGCTTTTGTATGTTATTGTGAGATAAAATTAATGTATCATGTCTGGCACAGTGCATGCCTACTAGCAGGAGTTCCTCTGAGAGACTATTCTCCTCCAAAATCTAATTTAGACTCATGGTCTCTCATTAAGGGAATCTTTTTTATCAATGTGTTGCTGGCCAGGCTGGAATTTGCCTCTGAGTTCTTGAACTCCGGGCTAGCCTTTTTGTCCACAGTAGCTGGAAGCTGGGCCTGAGTCCCTGGGGACCAGTCTAAACAGAGGAATCATGAGAGTCAAGAGTTCAATTTTGTGCCTAGGTTTGACTGGGTGTCTTTAGGACAGTTGTTCCCTTCTTTGAGTCTGTGTCCTCATCTGTAAAACTGGGAAATGGGCCAGATAAGAGTAAAGGCAAGGATAAAGTTTCATCAGGCCCTTGCTCCCTATTAGGACAAGAGATGTCCACACTCTTGTATTGCATTATGACAGCCTAGCTTCCCCTTTCCTAAGACTATGGCCAGGGAACTTTATCTTTATAGATTCCTTGATTCTTGCCAAGCAACACTTACCTGCCCACTCTTTAGTCAGTTCACATACATACAAGGAGGCCTGATGCTTGAATGCCTGCTGTTAAACTGTGCAGTCCACCCACCCACTGGCCACAGTTAACCAACTAGGCAAAAGCAAGCTGGGAAAAGCAGTCCCATTTCTAAGCCCTAGTTAAAGACAACTTAGGATAGAGTCTAAACAGAGCAGAGAGAGAAAGAGAGGAGGGGGGAGAGAGAGAGAGAGACCAAAGTCTGAGCTCTGAAGAACAGTAAAGTTTTGATGTCTAGGGAAGAAGACGGGTAACAAAGCATCAGATGCTGCGAGGAGGCAGATGAGAAGAAAGAAGTGACGGTTGGGTCTGTCAACATGAAGGATGTGGGTGACACTGACAATACTGCTGCCGGTGGAATGGAAAGAGTAGCTATGTTGGACTGGATAGAAGAGAACGGAGTGAAGAAACAGAGACTTCGTGTGCATCTTTAGATTTTGGCAGAAAAATGGGGACAGAAAAATCATTTTTGTTTTCCTATTTTGTCTTTTGATGGTGACAGGATGCTGCACGATGAAGGGAATAATCTAGTAATGAGGAAGAAACTTAGTTTTCAAGTGAGATGGAGGAAATGAGAAAATTCCTGGCCAGAATCTGAGATTCAGGGTACTAAGGTAAGCTTTGAAAGGGCTGAGATTCAATTTCTGTTGCATTGGGTTCAGCCATAAGAAATGGCTAATACTTGAACATTTTTGGTTGGCAAATCATCAATTTCTTATGGCTAAAGTTGACAACAGAGGGGAAGGATGAGAAGATGATTGTAGAGACAAGTAGAATTTAGCTTGTGATGTGATGATGAGGGAGGTCATGTCTGATGGCTTTAATTTCCTCTAAATATATGGGATGACATTATCAACAGAGAGTGAGGGTGGAGAAAAGGATGGGGACTTGAAGGGAAAGGACACTGCTTGAATGTGAAGTAGGAAGGATGCTGGCTCCTCCAGAGGCTGTTGGGAGGATGTGATGCTGACTAGGGAGGCACTTGGCCCAATTCAGGGAACAGAGGTACTCCAGAGCACATCTCTGGCATCCTCTGTTCAGGTGACGACAGGAGAGCCTTACCCTGCCCACCTCCACGAGGTTTGTAACCATGACGATGCTGGCAGAGTTTTCCTGCCAGATCATTCTCCAAAAGTCCTTTACTGTCTCCTGCATGGGACCTGCAAATGATAACAGGTATGGTTAGAGACTGAGGGCCAAGGTAGTAGTTAAGAGGTTGTCCCTTTTGGCTCCACATAGGTGGGCAAGAGTGATGCCAAATGATCCTTACTAGGCCACCAAGTAGCTGAGACTGAGGCTGGGGGCATGGGAGCCTCAGGGGGTCAAAATGGAGTATAGGTGAGAAAAACCATATTCCAAACTATTATGGCCAGCAGTGTCTTCTCCTGCTCTTGCCTACACTGCTCAGCCCACCATCCCCCTTTCTCCTGGGATATTGCCTTATCTGGACTATATGTTATGTTGTATCCCAGGGAGTTTTCAAAAGACTGGGTTCCAGGATCTCAATGAGGGACAGGAAGGAAATTGGGGCAGGGGAGATGGAGGGAGTTGCTGTTGAGGGCAAAAGCAGTAGGTGCAAGATTTTGAGCTTGACAACTGCTAGAGGCTGAAAAGGAAAAAAATCATAAAAAGGGGTTTAAAAAAAAAAGGACAAGGATCTGACAGCCCAAAGCAATTTCTAGGAAATTACCCTTTGAATGTCCTGGATCTTCATCATTTTTAAAATTACAAAAGTAATTCATTATTTGATATAAAAGTTTGAATAGTATTTTTCTACATTTATAGATATATGTAGGTGTTTACTGCACTAAGCATGTCTGTCATAAGCATTTTAATACCTTTAAAAATTCTTCTCCAGCATCATATTTTTCACAGTTGCAAAGTTTGCTACAATGTGGAGGTATACTTTTTATTCAGCAAATCTGCCTAATATTTATTGAGCATTTAAGTTTTTTCACTTTTTTCTATTATAGATAACATTGTGAAAGTATTTTATGTATGTTATTGTCAACATATATATATATATATATATATATATATATATATATATATATGTTATAGTTATCTATATATGTTGACAGAATTTCTTCCCAGAAAGATTTGAAAGGTATGATTAACTTTAGGCCATCTGGCAACATACTGCCAAGTTACTTCCAAGGGCAGCTGACTGCATCTCTCTTATGGACACATACTCATTGAGGAGATAAAGGCACCCTCAGCTCCAGCCTTGCTGAGTAGCACCTGCTAGTCTGCCCTGTCTGGTCCCCTTCCTCTTAGTGACATTTCCTAGCAACAGATAGTTCCTCCCACCCTCCCTCCTATAGCCGACCTTGTCACATTTCTTCTCTCCAGCCCTGCTCTCTTTGGTTTCCATGCCACCTGAAGCTCGTCCTTCTCTTCCAAGGAAGGGCCAGGGCTCTTTATTGGAAAGGAGCATTGGGTAACAGGTATAGGAGGAGAGGACAAGAAGTCTTGCAATGATTTCCCAGAAAGCCCTCTTCCCTGGTGCCCTTGAGGTCTCTAGGAAGCACCAGGTGGAGGGAGAGCTCTTACCTTGAGTTGCAATATAGTGCCGGGGCCGATGGTATCCCTGGATAGTAGGAGGAAAGCACAGTGAGGGGTCTACAGTAAAAGTCTGCAAACAGTACAATATTAATAAATATCTTCTCCCAGCTTGTCTTCCTCACAGGTGAAATACAAATAGCATCAACCATTTCCCAGACAAGTGGCAAAGATTAAACAAGATAATTCTTGTGAAGCACTTGGAAAGTCATTAAATGTTAGCTGTTATTATGGTTACTCGTGAGGTATCTGTACAGTTTTGCCTAGAAGCCAGTAACACTGGGAGCCAAAATTGAGTGAGCATTTCTTATGCTCATACATTCATAAACAGGGGAGAAAGAGTTTTCAGGCTTGCAGGAGACATCAGTCATGCCCAGGTTTTTCTTAAGCCATGACTGAATTCAGAACACTGTACAAGGCCCTAGGTGACTCCCAGAAGAGAAAACAGAAGAAAACAATTCCGTTGCTGATTCTTTGCATTAGTAACAATTAGAATAGAAAATGAGAAGGATACCACATTGCTTTCTCTGCCAACACATTTGGGCTTATAATGAAAGATCTTGCTACAGAGAGAACCTCATGGAAATGTGAACTTGGAGACCCCAGAAGCTACTCACTGATTTAAAGACCGGTTTCTGACTTCCATATGCATTACATGGAGCTCCCATGATCCCTGCTGGTCTCTAGTATGGTATTACCCTGCTGGCCCATAACTCTAGTCATTGTGGAAAAGATTGAAGGTGACCCTCTCTTTTGCCTGAATGTGGCATACATACATGGAGGGTCCCCTTTCTTGTTACAGAGAGGTACTATATCATAGTGAGTAAGAGCTTAAGTTTTAGATATTGACTGATCTGCATTTAGTTCAGAACATTGAATAAAATTCATGTTAAGTGGATGAATGAATGGATTAATTTTTTAAAAAACACAAATGCCAACTACGGAGTTTATGAATGGAGAAGTGTTCTGAAGTCCACCTAACCTTTATGGCTAAACAACTCTAGAAAAAATAAGACCTAAAGTTTGATGAGCCTTTCTTTGGTCATAAACATTGCCAAATAGCCTTTTTGTCCTATCAAATAGCTGAGATGTTGCAAAGCCTCTTTCTTTAGGAAATAAGCCAGATTTGCTACCTGAATGGCATTTTGTACAGTTGATGTGACAGCGCTGAAGTTCTGGATCCACTTGCTGATTCAAACACTAGTGTATTTGTACCCTGTACATTCTTCTACTTTAGGTTTTCACTTGTTCTTTCCAATTTCTGGTCATATTTAGAGTGATTGTTAGCAGTGACCCAAGGCAAAGGTTATGTGACCAGAATTGTCAGATTAACCACATAGACATCATCAGTGCCACTAAACTCAGCTTGAGTGGTGGTCCTAACTACTTAGTGAAGATATTTAGTTGACAAACTCTTCCTCTTAAGTCTGAAAATATTCCTACAGAGCCTAGCATTGTGTGAGACTCAGAGCAAACACCCAAAGCAAGCTATGGCAACACAATTGGAAAGTCAGTATAGTTTGGGATTGTGTGTACCATGAACTCTGCAACTGAACTGCCTGAGTTTGAATATTGGCTCTGTCCCTTCTAGGCCATGTAGTTCAGGGCAAGTTACTTGCCTCTTTGTGCCTCAGTTATTATTATTTCTCCTGTAAAATGAGTAAAAAAATTTAAATCATATCATTGTTCAAACTGAATGAGTCAACATAGAACAATTACTGTGTGCCCGCCATGATTCTAAGATTTGACATGTATGTCTTTGCTATTATTGTTATTGTTTACTTGTCAGGTATTTGTTAAGAGCTTACCATGACTAACTGGGCCTGCCATACTTTTAGAGGGGTGCCAGGATGCTCAGCCCTCCTCTTTGTTAGTATTGTAACTGAGAGTTAGGAAGAGCTACCTCTTCCTCCATGTCACAATGGCTAGGACTGTGGAAACTGGCCAGAAGAATTAGACTCAGGAGTTTTCTGGAGTAGGATTGTGAGCATAAAACAGTCCCCTAGGGCCTGAGACAATGTGGTTTCTCAAGCCTATCGTCTTCTGCCATCCCTATCATCACTTAGTTCCACAGCCTTCATCCTCTCTGGTTGGACCACAGCGTCAATTTCCTACTAATCTCTGTGGCTCCACTTTCACCTCATAGCCCATCTGCTTCCTGCCCCAGTGAGCTTTTCATTGAACATCTGAAGGAGTCATTTTCCCATTCATGAGTCTGCAGTGGCTCCCCATTGCTTGTGGGATAAAGCCCAAAATGCCTCAGCCTGGAGCTAAGCACCTATCTCTATTCTCATTTCTAACATCTCTTCCAGTTGTTCCTCTCCATCTGCTCCCAGAATCCCATGCGCCCTGTGTTCCAGCCTTACCAACCAGAAGTTCATATGCTACCTCCTCTGTGAAGCAGATGTAATTCTTTCTTCCTAAGAGACCCAGCAGGCCTTTGCATATGCCCAGTGAACACAGTGACATGTGATATGCTGAGTATTTTTATACTCTTCTCCACTAGGTCATGGTACAGAGCTGAGTGTAATTTTCAGCAAAGACTGGTTGGTGGAATATGTTTTTGAGGTGATGTTGGGTACCTCCTGAATGCATGGACTGAAAAACCATAGACCCTGGAGAAACTGTGGCTTAAAAGATTTTATTATTCTTGAAAGTCAATAGGGCTGGGCATGATGGCTCACACCTGTAGTCCCACCTATATTGGAGGCATAGGGAGGAGGATTATAATCCAAGGCCAGCCTGAGCAAGAAGCATGAGACCATACCTGAAAAACAACTAATGGAAAAGGGGCTGGAGTGGTAGAGTACTTGCCTAGCAAGTACAAGACCTTGAGTTCAAAACCTAGCACTACCAAGAAAGTCAACGGGATAAAATTCTGAGTAAGAAATTCACATTTCAACTGAGAGTAGATGGCTGAGGTTGACTATTTTGTCCTTTCATTCATTGGTTCAGTTATTTGATATTCAATGAATAGTGTTAAGGGGGAACCTACGACTACATGCATAAGTGAAAATATGCAAGTGGGCCAGACGGACGTGAGCGTTGCTTTAGAGCAGTTTGCAGGCATCAACAAACTGGGATAAGAGCCACCATGGAGGAGATGTGGGTCTCTGTAGAGCACTCATGGGAATTGACTCAGCCATGAGGCCAGAGTAATGTTCTCTGAGGAGGTGGTAGTTTAATTGACTTCTTAATTAAGCCAAGTTTAGGCCTCTCAATGGTCCTGCCTTTCCCATTCTATGCCTCCAATGATCTGCTTAGTCTTCCCACTGCTGTCTCTATCACTCACAGGCTACTTGCTCTTTTTAGGAGCAGCAGTCACCTTTCTGTCCAGAGGTGCCAGCATTGACCATTCCTTGTGCCTTCCATGCCTATTCCTAGACAACAGAGTGCTTTGCTTTCTAACTCCCTCCGGCTTTCTACTGTCTTGCCAGTCACTACCCCAGATAGTCCTAGTCCTTCTCTGGCCACACTATCTGTTTCTCTTCCCTTCCCTTTTCTTTTCTTCAGGGTTGTCATCATCAGACAACACACAAGTCTGTATTCATTAACTTTCTTGTTGTCTGTCTCCCCCAGTGAATGGGGGTCCTCCAGGGCAGGATTGTACCTGGTTTACTCATGGCTGTGTCCCTAGCAACTAAGAAATCTGCCCGGCCCATCAGGCTTTATTAAAAACATATTGAAAGCATGCATGCTGTGTGCCTGTCTCCACACTGTCTCCACACTGCATCTGAGCAAAGAGACCCTCCCGAGCCTCCAGAAACCCACACAGTCCCCAAAGAGAAAACATTCAAACCACGAGACTCTTCAGCAAAAGAGATAAAAGGAAATGTACTGCTCAATTGGGTCTCCTCTGGGGATTTGCCAAGTGCTCATACTGAAAACTTCCTAACCTTAAAAGAACTTTGAGTTCATTTAAGTCCCACCTACACAGCACGCAGCTTGACTGCAAACCAGCACTGGGCCTGCCTCCATCTGTCTATGAGCAATGGGAAGGAGGTTTGCATCCAAAATGCATTTATCTCACTCTGCACTCCTGCATCTGTTACTTACTGGGGACCCAGATACGATATTTATTTCCAGGCTGGTAATTTATAACAGATTCAAGTGGCCAATACATTTTTGGGTGTGCAAACAAACCTGCCAGCCGATGGTTCAGACAGCAGCAGACCATGGCCTCAGGAGGCCCAGACAGGGTTGGTCCCATCCAGCTCATTATCCAAATGGAGTCATTTTAATGAACTGTCAAGATCCAATTGTGGAGATAGGATTCTAACTAGAGCAGTTAGCTCTTTGGAGAGCCGGGAAGGCTTCTGACTGGGTGCAGACCAAGGCAAAGAAGGAGCAGGGGTGTGTGTGTGTGTGTGTGTGTGTGTGTGTGTGTGTGTGTGTATGCCAGGAACCTTCATGAGGTCCTCAAGAATTTGCTGAAGTATACAGTAGGCTAACAGTTAATGTGGTTCTGCTACTTCCCATCCCACAATGGTAACACTGTGCTTGGTGTCTTCTCTTTGATCCCCCACCACACCCACCCTACCTTCCCTCCCACACTCTGCTCTGTGCCATGGGATGCTGACCAGATGACGTGCACTGTGGGCTCCCATGCCCTCCTGCTTCTGGGTACTCTTAGCCAGCCAGGAGCAGAAGCAGAAGTTCAGAGGCCAGCAAGAAATTAGGGCATGTCCTTCTAGCATCCTCCTTACCAGGTCAGCAGAGGTTAGTCTGTCCCTATCAAGGCTACAGCTCTTGTTGGGCAGCACTCTCCTTGGAGAGACCCTTTCCCCTTACAACCACTCTTTTGCTTGTCTAGTCTTGATGAGAGCTCTTTGCTGTTGCCAAGCCAAAGACTCTACACCCTATGTCCTTATTAAACTTTCCTTGGTCACTGCCTTTGAGTCTCTGTTTCCTTTTAGGACCCTGACAGGTACTTTACATCAGTTATCATATATTCATGGGCCTAGGTTATTACTCCATTTCACAGATATCAGAATAAGTAATTTGTCCACAATCACAAAGCTAGTCGCCAAAAAGGTCTAGATTCAACAGATCCAACAAGGACCAAATTCCTGACTATAGTCTCATTAGCCCTTGATCATAACCACTGAGATCCAGCTCAGGGTCCAACATTGCCTTTTAGGACAGCGTGTGGCACAGGCATTTGGCTTGGCTGCACAATCTACTTTATACAGAGAGCAAGAGGTGGTGTGGTGTGTTCTAACTGTGTGACCTTGGGCAATGCTCTTAACCTCCGCCCCTGCTTCCCTGTGTTTAAAGGCTTGCAAAAGGCCTTTTAATGATAGAGCATGATAGAAATGAGAGGTGTGATTAGCATCAGCATTGTAGAGATTCACTTGCATTTAAAGCAATTTCATTTGTTGCCTATACAACACCAATGTTTCTTGGTTCAGACTGTAGTCAGACACTCACTCAGCTGTGGATTGAGCATCAATCTAGGGAAGTGACTTTTCCTGGGGCTTTCTATTTAGATGACAAGTGCCAGATAGATACAGCAGCTCTGGCCTGCAAGACTCCTTATGTGCTGTGGCCCTTAGGACCTTCACATCCACTTATACAAGATAAAGGAGAAGAGGAAGGAACCAATTGAGCCTGGACAACATGTGCTAACCAAGTCCGCACTGAATGCTAGCATGGAGTAGTTTCAGGGGTAGGTGAAGGGGAAGGAGAACAAGCACAGGATGGGTAGTCATTCAGCTCTGTTTCCTATTCTGGTTCTGCCACTGAGCAGTTGCATGGCTAGACAAGCTTTGCAATCTCTCTGAACTTCAGCTGCCCCATCTGAAAATGGGAGTGATAAGACCCATTGTGAAGGGGTACTAAGAAGTTTTGAGCCAGGCATAGTGGCTCACACCTGTAATCCCAGCTACCTGGGAGGCAGAGATCAAGAAGATTGCAGTTTGAGGTCAGTCTGGGCAAAAAGTTTGTGAGACACCCATTTCAACCAATAAAAGCTAGGTATGGTGGTTTGCACCTGTCATCCCAGCTATGCAGGATGTTAAAATTGGAGGTCCAGGCCAGCCCAGGCAAAAACTCAAGACCCTATTTAAAAAAATCACTAAAGCTAACAGGGCTGGGGACATAGCTTAAGTGGTAGAGCACTTGAGTTCAAATCCCATTACTGCCAAAGGAAAAAAAAAGTCTTGAGAGGGTCCAGGAGTGACTCATTAAAAGTCCATTGCTGTTGTTACTGCTTATGTAATTATTAGAGGCAGCAGGATTTGCAGGGGGGCAGGGGGAACACTCCTCATTAAAACTCCTGCTTCTCCTCCCTTGCCTCTTTGAGTGTGATTCTGGACATGTTACCCTAGCCTCAGCTTACTCATCTGGAAATGGGTAGTAGTGACACTTAGAGATACAAGTTAAAGTGATATTGGCACATAGGTTATGATCAATAATTCTTAGGTTACCATCATAACTAGACTGTCCGGCTCTCCATCATCCTCTAAAGCAGGACTGAGGTGTCACCTCCTCCAGGAAGCCTTTGCTGGCCACCTTTCTGCACCTTGGGACTTTGACCCATTGTCCCTGATCTGTGAAGGTCTTTTTTTCCTCTCTGACCCCCTCACCAGATTGAGTCTATCTTAGGTCACAGGCGTGGTTTGAAAATTCAGCATTTCTAGTACACAGTGGAGGGTCTGCTGGCTGTAAAGTGAATACTAGATGCATGGGGAAAAGGTTGACTGCATGGTGGGTGATGCTTGAAGCACCTTGCTCTCATCTACTCAGAACTGCCCACTTCATTGTGAAATCTTCCAAAAGGGGCATGGAAGGCTTCATCTCCACTGAAGCTCCAGCCCCAGCTCTTGACCTCATAGTACATCCTTTGTTAGCCAGGGTCCAGTCAGAGGAATAGAAACCACTGCAGATGTTTAAAACAGAGGGTATTCAATACAGGGAGTTTGTGACACAAGTAGTACAGGAGCCAAGATGCCAAACAGAGAACAGCAGGGTAACCTTGAGATTAGCAACAGCTGTAGGCTATGACCATTCTTACGGCTAATGGAACAATGGGAGGCAGAGAAGTTACCAGAGCCCAGGATCTGGGGCTATCTGGCAGGAGCTGAAATCATGGGGGCCTAACTGCAGGAAGCTGGAGCTGCAGATGAGGTGATGCAGCTAGCCTGGAGCTGCCATCCCAGGAAGGGAGAGAGAAGAGTATACATTATTTTCTTTCTCTCTATAGACCTCCAACGTCCCATCAGTCCTTCTCATTAAAGAGTCAGCTTCCCTCTCTCCCTGAACCCTACACATGTGCTCACATGCACACATATGCTACCATTGCCAAGGCAAAGTGGAGCAGAGAAGAACGGGGAACAGATTTTAGGGCACACAGAAAAATGATCCACATGAGACTATGTATTTGTTGAACTGATGAATCTAGTTTGAGGCTAGTTTATGAAGGAGCTTTGCATGGTATGCCACTGTACTTTACAGCTTGTCTATAATTAGGAGTCCGAGGAATCAGTGCTAATCTCTGAACCATCCTCCACATCTTTGGACTCAGGTGCAGAGAAGCGTGGCTTGAATCAGTCATGCTGGAATGTCCACCTGGCCATGGTGGCCACACTAGGATGTCCACCTAGCCACAGCAGTCACACTATCATGTCTACATGGCCACAGCAGCTATGTTCTCCATTTCCAAACTCTCTCACTTCTACATGGGCCCTTCTTGACTTCTGTTGAGTTGAATCCCTTCCTTGGTAGTATCTGGACTACTGAAGCAGTCTCTTTCCTACTTGGTTGTCTTAACTCCAGAATCTTCTCTCTCTTATCTGTCTTACCCTTGGTAGTAGATAACTCATCTTAAAGCTCAGTTCTGAAGGGGTCACCTCCTTATCAAACACTTGCAATAGCTCTTGCCTTCAGGATAAACTCCGACCTTCTCAGTCTGGCCAGCTACGCCATCAGGAATTTACTGCCAAACTGATTTTTCACTCTTTCCACCATACCATCTTCAACCCCTCAAGTAAAGCTGCTGTATATTTCCTTCCTAGCTGCTTTATCTTGGCCTGTGCGGTTATCTTGTGAGAGACCCATCTTCTCTCTCTTTTGACTTTAAATTTTACTTGTGTTTGAAGCTTTGGCTCACATCACATTTTGCATTCCTGATGGGAGAAGTGATATTTTTCCTGCCTTAGAATCCCTGTAGCATTTTATCTGAACCTATGGCACTTACTACTTTCTACTTTGCCCTGGCATTATTGATGGGAACAGCTTATCTCCTTTCTGAGGTTTTAGAGGGTAGAGACTATGGCATTTTTCACTTTATGGTTCCTGTAGCATCTAGCATATAGTGGGCACTTTCAAATGTCTATTGCACTAATGGCTACACCTTCAAATGAATGGTTGAATAGACAAACAGGGACATATAGAAATTAATGCATAGGGTGAATGAATAAGACAATCAGTTGTCCCGGGGCTCCATAGAGCAGGCGACTCCAGTCTTCCTGAAAGAGAATATAGCTTTAGGTGGATAGTGAACTTGGACCATGCAAGTTAAGTTGGGGCCAAGCTGTTCTGAACATGTTAACATGTGCTGCAAGGGCCATGTTCTGGGGGACAAGTTGGGAACAGATCTTGAGCCTGCACAGAAGGATCTCAATGAAGACACTCACATCAATGTAGTTGGCATTGATATAATCAGAGTGTGGGTCTCCATCCAGCACCAGTAGCCTCACCCGGGAGTGGTCATCTGTAGAGAGAGCAGAAAGCAGGGGACAATGGGTAAGAGGCCTTGGGGTAAGGAGCCAGAAATTGCTTCCTTTAGAGCTACTATTTGTGAGTTACTGCATACCAGATACCATACTACTCTTATTTAAGCCTTAGTGTTTCCCTTAGGGTACTTACAGATGAGGAAGTTGAGGCTCAGGGAAGTTACTAGCCTTAAAAAGGACCTGGAGGCACTTCCTCCTTTATTTTCCAACTTCCATTTTGATTACTATTTTGTCATTACTTAAGTGAGCTGGTAAGTCACCTGCTTCTTTTTTTATTGATAGGTATTAAACTGTACATAGTAAATGATTTCATCATGGCATTTCCATACATGTATATAAAGTACTTTGATGACATTCCCTGCCTCGGTTGTTCTTTCTTATTCTTACTTCCTTTCTTAGTGATTTCATTATCAACATGGGGATGGAAATATCTGCTTCCTAGGACAATGCAAGAGAGATCCATATAAATATACTCAGGGCATGAGAGTGCTCACTGAATTAATAGGCTCCATTTTCATGCTTGCTTAAAAACAGCAAGTTTACCTTTTTCCCATGTGCACAAATTGCTTTCCTTTTGCCTCTTTAAGCATTGGTGCAAATAGATTGTTGGGCACTTATTGTTATCAATACCATCATTAATGTGAGGCTGACTAAATCATTATAAAAGAGGTCATCAATAGCTAACAATCATGTCACTCAGGGTTCCTTTTCAAACACAGTCTAGGTGTAAACAAGACTTACAGGCTTTAATCAATAGCACACTTACTTCAAATAACACCAAATAAAGACCACTAAAAATGTTACATCAGAAGAATCAGGATAATCCTTTACAATTAATTGAAGTGAACTCTGACTTGCTAAAAGGCACATGTAAAAACAATAGCCTGGCTGGGTCTGGTGGGAGGAGACCCTTAGTTTACTGCCTGGGTCACTGTGCACCTGTCATTGTTCAGTCAATGGTCAATCTGCCTTACTCTAGGGCAGGGTTGGGATTCCCAGCTCGTGGGCTAGAGAGCTCTGGAAATCCTTAAGGAATCTCAGGGGTGAAGGAGGTCAAGTCAGCTTATCCTGTTAGATTTACACTGCACTCTGCTATTTTAAAGTACATTTATTCCTACTAACTGGAACCCATTGAGAATAGGACCATTATCTGTCTTGTTCTCCATTCCATTCCCTGTACTTCCAAAAGAGCCTACTACTCATTGCCTCAAAATGATCTTGTGAGTATGGTAAATGGTTTACAAATGGGGAAACTGAGGCTCATGAAGATTGGCTACATGGTCAGTGAATGGTGGAATGTGGAAGTGTGGGGTCCTCTCAGCTCTGGGTTTAAAGTTTAGATGCTTCTGCTTCCAAAGATTTTCTATGCAGGATATTAGAAACCAACTCAGGTATATTCAGTGAGGGAATTAACCACAGAGAAGTGGTAGCTTGGGTGATGGAAGAAATTTTAAGTCAAACAGAGGAATGAGATGACTTAGAGCCAAGTGACAATAAGGAGGTACTGCCTCTCTAGGACTGGAGGGACAGATAGAGGAGGTGGGGATCCCAGAGTTCAGGAGCTGGAACCACTTGCTAGAACTGCAGCCACTGTGGGTCTCTGTGATAGGAGCTGGAGACAAGGTGGAGAGTCCCTTGCTGATAAAGAAGGCAGCCTTCAGAGGTTAGCTCCATGCCTGCAGGGTCCAGAAGGAGAAGGCAAGTTAGGCCCAAGCAGGCACAGGACTAGTATAGGATACTATTACAACCTATTAATTAATTAGTTCGAAATTAGTCATTGAGCACCTGCCTGTACATAGCAGCCAGTACTACGCGCCATGCTTAGTGCCTTTTCTTACTCTCCATAGGAAGGATTTCAGTGCAAGTAACTAGAGGGAGCAGGTTGGCGATCTCTTTGAATGGGTTGAGGGGATGGTGAGTGGGGTATTGAAAGGGGAACTGCCAGGACCACCCTAAAGATGGCGATGGGAGAAAGTGTTCACAAAGGAGTGCGCTCGCTGTCTTCTTCCTAGAGGACTGTGCCTGAGGACACTACCTTTACACTCCTCCCCCAGTCAATTCTCGACGAGTCCTTCAGCGCCAAATCTAACCCACGACAGAAAGACCACCCAGACATGGGAGAGGGGAAAAAAAAGGAAAAACAGGACCCATAAAAAGGGAACTTCCTAAGCGCTTTCACGGACCATCCATCGGTTTCTGGGTCCTGATCCTCACTCTTGAGAAGTCTCCCCTTTCGCTTCGCTATAAAGACTTTCTTTGTCCCGCTACTTTCTGGTCTCCTGTCTTTGAATTCTTAAAGAGAGGGAAGGGAAACAGACCCACCACAGTTGCTAAGCGGCATCAGAATGAGGCAGGAAGGACTATTAAGTTTAGCTTTACTGAAGTAGGGACTTTATATACATCATCTTAAATCACTAATTCCTCAGAAGAGCTTTACAGCTTATTATTATAATAATACCAGCATGATGTGGTATTACCATGGATGAGGACAATAGGGCTCGGAGAGGTTAAGTAGGTTTTGCAAATTACAAAGCCATTTGCTGAGGTCCATCCGCCCTGGAATGCAGGCTTTGCCCACACAATGTGCTACCCTGGAACCTTGAGCATTTTGCAGGTCCTACTGCTGGAGTCTGTGCAAATGGGTCGTCCCTGGCTTCCTCAAATCTCTAGCCCCAGTGAAGGGGCTTTCTGGGGGACAGCCATCCAGCAGGTCTGGTGCCTGACTCTGAACCCAAGATGCCAGGCTCTGTCACCAGCAGTTACAGAAACTGTAAGCCTTAAAAAAGTAGAAATGTATATTATGTTGTCACTCAGTGGTTTCACTAATGACTTATTGATCCAAAAATCTTTATTTATTGAATTATGTTTGCCCCTAGGACCCATAGCACTGGAAACAGATTCTGGTTGAAAATGTTGAAAGGAATTTTTTAAAAATATAAAGGAAAGACATTAAAATCTGAAAGCAAAAAAGCATGAAAAACAAAACAAAAAGAGACAAATTTGCTTCTTCTACTTAAATATCCTTGAAGATAAAAGGTGCCTCTACCCCCCAGATGATGAGGTTTGCCAATATCTCCTTTTCATTCGTTTAGTATAACACATTCACTGAGCACCTCTATATTCTAGGCTAGTTGAAGGGACTAAGAGTTTGTCAGTTTAGTGGGGGAGACAGACGACATGGAAGTGAAAAGTCCAGGTGTAGAAAATGGGGTATAGAGGACTTTGTGTGGAGACACTTGGGTGAGGAATTAAAAGTGAGGAAGGCTTAACTAGTAGAAAATGAGGAAGTATTTACCTTAGAGCGAACAGTGAAACCAAACGCAGAAATTGTAGAGCAAACATTAGGGGAGACTCAGAGTCCCCTGTCCTGGGAACACCGATTGTGAGGGGAACAGCAACAAGAGGGGATGGAAGGGGCAGCTAGATTGGAGCACAGAGTGCTCTGCACTCCACAATAAGGCACCAGGACTGGAGCAACCAGGCTTGACTCCATAGCCATCTTTTTTGGGTTGGGGGAGGGAGTATAGGGAGAGGGTGTTTTAGAATGAAATAGCCAAAATTCATTTCCACAAGGTCTGACCTCTGGCAAGAAGGGTACACTTTTACTGTGTACTCTAGGTATGGAGCTGGGTTCAAAGTTTAGGTCTGTCACATAGCAAGTCAACTGATCGCTCTCCGTCATGGTTTCCTTAGCAAAATGGGCCAAGGCTATCTAGTGCTCAGAACACTGGGAGGATTAAATGAGAAAATGTAGATGTGAAAAGTGCTACAACATTAACAGGATGAAAAGATAACCAAGAGAGTGGGAAAATATTTACCAAATTCATATCTGATAAAGGACATGTTTCCAAAATGTACAAAGAACACTTAATAATAAGAAAACAAATGGCCCAAGTTAAAAAACTATTGGGTAAAACATCTGACAGACATCAGAGGAACACATGCAGATGACAAATAAGCATATGAAAATGTTCCAACAAATGATTCCTTGGGGAATTGTGGATTAAAACAACAATGAAATTATCACTCCATACACATCAGAATGGCCCAAATCCAAACCACTGACACCACCACACACTGGTATGGATGCTTAGCAAAAGGAATTCCCATTCATCACTTGTGGGAATGCAAAAGGATACATCCACTTTGGAAGACAGTTTGGCAGTTTCTTACAAAACTAAACCTACTTTCACCATATGATCCAGCAATTACGCTCTTTGGTATTTACCCAAATGAATTGAAAACTTAAGCCCACACAAAAACCTGCTCATGAATGTCTATAGCAATTTTATTCATAATTGCAAAAACTTGGAAGCAACCAAGATGTCCTCTGATAGGTGAGTGGATAAACAAATTGTGATTTATCTGTACAATGGTGGATAAAAAGAAATAAGCTATCAAGCCGTGAAGACAGGGGAGACACTTAAGTGCGTATTGTTAAGTGAAAGAAGCCGAATTTCTGGTGTGTGGCATTCTGGAAAAGAGTAAATTATGGAGACAATAAAAAATAAAAATAAATAAATAAAAAATCAGTGCTTGTCAGGAGCTGGGAGGAAGGAGGGTGTGTCAAATACAAGGGATTTTTAGGACATTGAAATTATTTTATATCATACTGTAATGGAAGAGATACATGCCATGATGTCTCTGTCAAAGCCTATAGAACTGTACAGCATCAAAAGTGAGCGCTAACATAAACTATGGACTTTAGCTAATAATGACGGATCAATATCGCTTTATCAATTGCAACAAATGTTCTGAATTAATGCAAGATGTTAACAAAAGGGCAAACAGTGTGTAGGAGGTAGAGAGGGAGTACATGGGAACTCTGTACTTGCTGTTCAATTTTTTTGCAAGCCTAAAACTGATCTAAAAAAGTGTTAGGACAGTGATGGGTACACAGCAGGTTCTCAGTAAGTGGTGGTTTAGGGATGGGTATGAGGCATGCAGTGAGATGATAGCAGAGACACTTACAAACTTG